TTCCTTACCCAAAAAAGATGCATATCCTTTACCAAAAATTAATGAATCTCTCGATTCCCTCTCTGCTTCAAAGTTTTTCTGTACACTTGACCTAGCCAGTGGTTATTGGCAAAAAGTTTGTTTGGGATGAAAATTGTCAATTTAGTTTTGAGAGATTGAAACAATTGTTGGTCTCTGCTCCCATTCTTGGTTTCCCTGACCGTTATGGACAGTTCATTCTAGACACAGATGGATTGTCAAATTGGCGCGGTCTTGTCTCAAATAACAGAATGGTTGAAGAGCGTGTTGATAAGCTTATGCAAGCAAAACTCTTAACAAGTCTCAACAAAAGTATTGTTACCACATTTCATTATAGGCTAAAACTGGGGGTTTGTTAACTTTATAAGATATTTTCGCCATTATCTCTGGGGAAGACATTTGCCATTGTTAGAACTGGATATGCATCATTGATTTGGCTGCGTAACTTTAAAGACCCTGAAGGAATGCTTGCTAGGTGGCTCACCATTCTTGAAACATACGATTTTAAAATTGAGCACAGAAAAGGTTCTCTTCATGGTAATGCCGACGCTTTGTCCCGTCTGCCAAATGCAAAGCGACCTTGTAAAAGGACAGACTGTCCTGACTGTACATCTAGGTTTGAGATATCTAATAGCCCAATAAAAGGAAATGTAGCAGATACACCATTGACTGTATATCCTATAAATGCAGCAAGTAAAAGTACAAGTTTGCCTGATCAAAATGTTTCAAATTGGATAGAAAGTTGGACTCATGCAGAGTTAGAAATTATGCAGCAAAATGATCTTGTAATAAAAAGGTTTATCAACCTTAAAGAAAATTTTGATACAAAACCACAAAAACATGAAATAAATGAAACCAATATAGACGTAAGAACCCTTTGGAGCATGTGGGAAACTTTGGAACTAGTTAGGAACATTTTATACAAAAGAAAAATTAACCCTCAGGATAATTATGAAACTTATCATATAGTAGCTCCATCTTGTATAAGATCAGACATTTTTAATCAGTTAAACTGTAATGGCATAGCTGCTCACCTTGGAAGAGATCGCACAATTAAAAGCATACAGAAAAGGTTTTACTTGCCTAGTATGTCTAAAGACATAAAGATCTGGTGTAATGCATGTGAATTATGTTCTCGTAGAAAACCAGGTCCTGGGTTAGGTAAATCCTTTTTAAAACAAGATATTTCTAGTAGGCCAATGGACAGAATAGCTATTGATTTCTAGGACCACTTAATCAAACAAGTGAAGGTTATGCTTACATAATGGTTGTAGGTGATTACTTTACGAAATATTCTGAAGCATTTCCATTAAAAGATCATACTGCTCTTACAGTTGCAGATAAGCTTGTAAATGAGTTTATTTGTAGATTCGGGGTACCTTCCATTATTCACACAGACCAAGGCAGGGAGTTTGAATCTAAACTTTTTGACCAAATGTGCAAATAACTAGAAATTAAGAAAAACCAGAACTACACCTTACAATCCAAAATCTGATGGAATGATAGAGCGTCTGAATAGAACGATACTTCAGATGCTTTCCATGTTTGTTAACGAAAACCAAGATGACTGGGATGTGCATTTACCATTTGTCATGATGGCATTTCGTTCAACTTGCCATGACAGTACTAAATTTAGTCCAAATAAGCTTATGTTTGGTCGAGAGATAACCTTTTCAATTGATTGTTATTTTGTTTAGTGATTGTCCTTGATAACATAAATGAAGTATGTCCGCTCTCAGTATGTTGAATGGTTGAGGGGCAATCAATGCAGCTTACATATGAAACGGCTTTCAAAATTTGAATATTTCTGCTTCAAGGCAAAAGAAGGCCTATGATAAAGGCTTGAAGCCTAGGATTTTTGAGAAAAACAATTTAGTCTGGAGATGGGTATCCCCACGTGGCAAATGCAAAGTTAGGTTTAGGCTGGACTGGTCCCCATAAAGTGATTAGTAAAATCAGCTCTGTTACCTATCAAATTGAGCATGTTAAGACTATGAAGAGACTTATTGTTCATGTTCACCATTTAAAGTCATATCAGGGTAATGATAATGATAATTTAGAACCTGATTGTTTAAATGATAATTATGTTCAAGACATTGATTGTCAGTCAGAACCAATTAATATGCAGCATGTCTTAAGCCAAGAAACAACAATAAGCACAGAAATCACTCAACCTGAACCAAACACTCCTTACCATACTAGAACTGGTAGAAGAGTTAAACCGAAACAAATATTTTCACCTTCTTAAAATACTTTTGTTGCAAAGTCTCAATAACTCGCAACTAGTAGTTATATTCCTGATATAATTATATAACCATGTATGTTTATATGACATGTTAAATTGCATGTTATATGATGCACATACTTCTAAATTGTTTCAATTGTAAATAGAACTGTAAGAGTAAAATAACTCTTAATGATAATTTACTTAAACAATGTGAGCGTATTTGTATATAATATTATATTAATGTATTATGATGATTGTTAAACTGCTGTTTTGTTTGATAAATCAAATATAAAGTTATTTAAAATTTGAGCTTGGATGGATAACTAATTTTAAAAACAGTTATTTAGAAATAGCCAAATTTTGCTTTATTAATTAATGTACATGTGTATTTGCATTATTCAAATGTATATATGTTATTAGCATTGAAAAAAAAAATCAGAGTCACTTTTTACATTAATTTAACAAATTAATGGGAAATAGAGAGATTATGTTTTAAGTCTATGATTTCTTAGTAATGAATCAAGTTATTGCTTTATGCATATAAATTATGTTTTTTTTTAAGAAAGGATATTAAAGAGTCATTTTGATTTATCCTGTTTCTAGTTTGAAATATATGACATAAATGCGGATGTACAACTCGGTTTGAAGAAGACCACTTGTATTTAATAAAAGATTTGGCCAATCTTAAAATACACAATTGAATGGTCTGACTCTTTAACAAATGAGCCTAGGAAATTGGTTTTCCGACGATGGAACTTATCTCAGAAAGTTTTGTCATCCAGACTGAGACATTTTTTTCAATCATTTTGATTACTGGAATAATATTATAAATGATTTTTTTTTGTTCTTGTATTTTTTTCAGAAAAATGGATAATCTAGAGATCTTAGCAGGTTACTCTGAAGAATTAGATGAGTTTAATGCTCAGTTTATAGATAATGATCAGAAGCCAGCAGAAAGGCCTCTCTGGCCTAATGTTCCCTCCTGCTGCCCAGCTGAGGACTATTTGGAAGTTGACCAGAGTTTCAGCAGCTTTGAACGGCACTGGAACAATAAACATGTCAATATAATAAAATTATACAAGTGTCCAAACTGCTCTTTCAAGTCGGCTAGAGAATATAATGTAAGGAAACACCAAGAAAAGGTACATAAAATGAAGAGTGCGATTGAATTTGAATAAATCTGAAAATGGAAAATACATTAATCCAGGAGACAAACTTCCATACAGGTTTGATCACCGACAAAGAATGTCTAATAAAAGAAAAGCTATTGAAGGGACAGACCTTCTAGTCAGAGGCGGACAAGTGTGCCGGGATCAGTCCCGGAAGAACACAGGGGAATTGTCGTTGTTAAATACAAGCAGAATAAAAAATAAACTGATTTGAATTCAATAATCAGAGTGAAACAAAAATGTGATTGATTATTTTCTTATTTTCTGTTGTTATATTATAACATGTTGAATTATTCTTTTGTCATTCCTGCAATTTTTTTATTTTAACAAAATTATTTTTCGAAAATTTTGGTCTTAAGAAGGGGGGAATGTAGCAGGAATGCCTATCATTTCATTTTATTGATATAATCTTATTTTTAGAATATTATATAAACAATGAATATTTTTCCTTATTCTTATTTATACATTTAGTATCTTTTCAAAATCATTCAGCTGGCACTATTTTTTCAATATAAACTAACAGTAAGCATAACTTAATGCATTATTTCATGATATTCATGCTATTCATGTCTTATGTAAGGTTTTTATCCAATAGAGGGTTGTTCATTAAATTTAACTTAATACACTTCCATACATTTTAAACAGAATATTGATTCTCGATATTGTTAACTTAATATTTTGTAACATTCCTCTTCATTTTCAAGTCATGCATTTTTCATGAATTGTGTGATTGCAGAGAGAAGTGGCTATATAAGCCAGTATTTTAGGTCATTTCATTACCTTGTCTACAGATGCAAAAAGTAGCGTATGCCTATTATCGCCTGACTTGGTCATTTCTCTCTATTTTCCCTATGATGCTTTTTTGTAACTAATATTTTCATTTCGTGACATTTTAGGATATCAATTTAATACTTTGGCATAGAAACATATTATCTTAAATCTATTTTGCAATAAAACTGTTGAACTCTAAAATGCCTATGTTCTTCATATTTGAATTTTCAATTTAATCTTCAATGAACCTGGGTAAATAACTAGGACGTTAATTGTGATCACTGTGTGTCCGTTTGTCCGTCCTGTTACAATTTCCTAAAATGCTGTCAGGTCGCGTATATGATGCACTTAAATGTATATGGGACGAGTTTAATTCAAAATCAATACTCAAAATTAAGTGGTATTCAGTATTATTTTATTGAGGACACCTCAATGTAGCTCCCTCCAAATCTCACAGATTCTCAACCTTCCTGAGTTCACTCGACCGACACTTACTTTAACATTTGAATACCACTTTTCTGAATGGTTGAGGACAATCTTGACCGTTAGGCAATTATATTGGATTTACTCTTTCAATGATTGTGAGTGTAAGTATCGATTCTGAATACGGGCCAATGTTATGGATTTTAAAGTATGGCATAACGGTATACGTGGTTTATGTATGAATTTAAGTTACTAACGCAACACATGCCTAACTAGCCTCATTGACAGAGTTCAGATTGAAGATTCTAGGTTCGAATCTCGATCAAACATTTTTTCCTTTTTCCTTTTTTATAGTTTGAGACTTTACGTATTAGAGTAATGAATAGAGTATGCACGTATCAAAGTCCTAAAATTTAACAAAGGACGCCAGAAATTGAAAAAAAATATTAATGTTGTTTATATTTCAAAAGAAAATAATTAGTTAAATAAATCTGACACATCTGACCTCACAATACCCCCGTAACATGATTGAGGTCAGATGTGACTTAAATTTTTTGGATATATGCCCCTTTATATTTATATCCGCTACTTCTTTTAACTTGGGATTATTTGAACTTGTATTGCATTGGTATTGTATTCTATGATATATTTTCACCAATGTTGCACATCTCTGATTTGATATCAAAATGTATCCTTTCATCATTTCATTCTTAATTCATTATTTCCAGCTCCGATTTATAATCAAATAGTTCAAAGTCCATCTTATATAGCTTCTTTAACTCATTCATCTTGGTTTCATTAATCTGTTTATATGCAGTTGTAAGAGCATGTTTACGCCTTTCTTTTGTATTGGCATGTGAAGTGTTATACTTTGATCGTACGCTTTTAACAAGTTCATAAAAAGACTCCGAGTTCAAACTGTCGTGATAAATATTGGTCGGGAAAGGTTCTTCTGATGGCAGATAACCGTTCAAGATAAACGCTGTCCAAATTCTTTTGCACAATTCGTAAGTATCTATACAGTTCTTTACCCTTGGAAATATTTTAAAGTTGAAGTCAATTGCATCTTTAATTTCATATTCGATATGATCTATCGCTGTTATATTAGGTAAAAGATAATCTAGTCGAACGGTTTTAAGGGTGTACTTCAAATCTTGTAAGAATGTTTCCTGTTTCCCAATGATACTGGGCTTAAATACACATGGATCACAGATATCACTTGCAGGTAACCAATGTTTGTCCTGATTCCAGTAGTCAAACTTATGTCCTATAGTGATCACATATTCTATGAATTCTGGAAATGTAACGTCATGTCCACAATCTTTTGAAAATGTCTGAGGATTTTTGCGTACCATTCTTATAATGTGCTTTCCTTTAGAAAACCAAAAATCCGGTAGTAAGAACTTATCAATATAAGCGGACCATAATCGTGTGTAGGGGTTCCTAACAGTCATTGTTCGAACGGAATGTGCTAATCTTTCCTCGTTGCCAATACGCCGGAATGTCTTATAGAAGCCTGGAGCGTGGTTATGTATCAAATATTTTGTCAATGTCATTGGACTTCCTGTTTCCCTTTTTTGTCCTGCCATAAACTTGAATAATCTTATCCACATAGTACATCCGGCTTTTTGCACAGCACAATATGACAAATTTGCTGACGGTACACCAGATAGTTCTGACGTCTTATTTGACACAATACCTATACGTGCACAAACGCTTTGCACCCTTTGTATTCTTTGATCAAGAATGTATTCAACTGTATGAACAACCTGAAATGGGGTATTTTAAATAGAATATTTCTTTAAATTAAGAGATGATAATTTTGTGTATTTACTAGTTACACCCATAACAAAAAATAAACACATTTATATTACATAATATAAAGGTCAATTATGCCAAAAATGCTTCTATTTTACATCTCAGAAGCTTTTAATATTATATATCTGGGGTCCTGTTATAGTTTCAAAAGGTTACTCTTTCACCAATTAACAGAATCATATTTTGCTTCCGTTGCTTTCTGAGAATAAGTACAGTAATAGTGATTTAGTAGTTTGTATGGACGTCAAATTACTACTTTGTTTACATTTTGCCACATTTATGATAAATATTGTCACATTCAGTGCTCTTCTATCTTCAGGTATAATAACCATTTGAGCCGCGTCACGACAAAACCAACATAGTGCGTTTAGGAAAAGCATGGATCCAGACCAGCCAGCGCATCCGCGCAGTCTGATCAGGATCCATGCTGTTCGCTTACCAACCCTATTACAAGTAGAGAAACTGATAGCAAACAACATGGATCCTGATAAGACTGCGCGGATGCGCAGGCTGATCTGGATCCATGCTGGTCTCAAACCCATTATGTTGGTTTTGTCGTGACGCGGCTCATTTATGCTCTAAAACCATTATTGTATGCATCATAAATCTCATGTTTGCCCTACCTAAAGATGGACAAAAGTATTCGTTTCTGCAGCATAATGTGGCTATATAGTGGACCGGTATACACTAAGAATAAGAATTTCAAATACATGTACATCTATTGGTTAAATGCAAAACACAATAGAAATGTGTAATTTGGACATTCTTTTAATATTTTGGTCGAAAAAAATATTTGAAAAATATCTTAATGATTTAGTATGAACATTTTTATGATGTAAAAATTATAATTTGTTCTAGAACATTTTATTATCTGCTATATGAACATAATATTATGTAATATCAAATCAGGAAAATACCTGACTTAAACATCATAAATATATCGTTTTTTTTAATTATCTACGTATCGATGTAAATTCAATTCAATTCAAACGTTTATTGCAATTAAGTAAATACATACATATAGCAAATTACAAGTGATAGAAAAATACATGTAAACATGAACTTTTCGAGAAGCATAGTATACAGGAATATAAACAAATATAATTAATATGTTACATTACAGTAAATGCTATAGTTATCATGTTACTTTTTTTAAATAAACGGGCCTTAAATGTGGTTAAAAAATATCGGATCATTTTTTCTTTACACTTGCCAACAACATCTACATATAATTATTGTTTTAACGTCTGAAACTAAATACTTTCCACGTTATTATTTAGTATAAATGTATTACAGTTTTACCATTACAGATCTATTCTCTTTAAGCTAAATATGCAGTCGTTATGTACTTAGTATAATACCAACAACGTCATTCAGGTGTGATTTGTTAAGTCGTTTTTGTGCATGTGATACACGTTCATTGAATGTCGAAAATGGGTAAAGATTTATCATTTAAAACTAATCACAGTTTTATGTTGTAAGAAAAGTTCATGGAAAAACTGTAGTCTAAATTAACTGAAATCATTTATGATTAATCAATTTATAATATAATACATGTATATTAAATGGTAAATTTAGATCAGCATCTTCTAGAAATTCGCGTGATGAGATGAATTACATTACAACATAATATTATACAATGTTGAATTATTAACACATAATCTACCTCTTTCTGTTTTACTGATGGACGCACAAGTTGAACACCGAAAGCTAACGTGTCATTCACGCCTGAAAGGAGATATGCAAACACGTAATTTCATCTCCAGAAGGAATTACTACATACGAAAAAACCACACATACATGATTTTGAGTTCCTAGACAACGTGATTTCGTCGCCTGAGACACAAAAAAATATCTGCGAGAAACATAACCAAATTGTGTAAAGCTAACATTTCTATGTCACACACACAAGCATGGTTGTTTGATGTGTTTATTTGCCTTATAAAATCAGGACTAGGCTCTGCTTTGTAATTAAAATATTTGTGTTTATTATATAATCTATAAAAGCTTTGAAATGTGTTTCTCTGATTGTCTTAGAAATATCTTTTCCTAATAAAAAAATTAAAAAGTCAAATGTGTGTATTAAGTTACTGTTTATATTTTTTTTAAGAACATTAAGAATTTAGCGTGCCAATGAGCATTAAAATATAGATTCAAATTATGGGAAAAGTAAACAACCTAAAAATGTCGATTTCCGTCGTATTTAATGGCCGACTTAAAAACCCTTAAAAAGTGGTAATTTATCATATAAAAAATGGTGAATATGATGTGATATGTACTGAAAAAAATATTGACCGAGGCGATATTTGTATAATATTTGTATAATATGATATTAACTAGCTCTAAAACTGACTCTCAATTTTCATATATGAGTATATTTTATATGTACCTTTTTGATAAGCGATGACAATCAGGCACGGCACCATCATCAAAATGAATATTACAAGTCTGTTCTTTCCACATAACGAACTGAGTCTGCAACGTAAACATACGAGTACATTCAAACATACAAGTTTATCCATGGAGAGAATCAGAATGTGATTAATTTTACAAGTCATATTTGTATATAACACAACTGTGATATTGGTGAATAAGATCTACTTATGTAAAGTAGCATTATCTTGTTCTTGTGATAAATATCCAGAACGATGAACTGTCATTATTTTGAAGTGTCTTTTATATATATTTGTATATTTCTTTTGATATGTTTACATAAATGATGGAAGCATTAAATGCTCTTAAAGTTTACAAAGACCTGTTTTAGGCTCATTACATATGCTTATACTAAATAGTGTGGTTAAAAGGAAGCAATAGTAATGATTTTACTGTTGGCACACTCTTTCATTTTTAAAATAAAAAATAATAAAACAAACGAACGACATAAGAAAACGTTGAATATAGAACCACATGAAAATAGTTTATATATGCTAAGCTATGAATGTATGAATGTCACTTTACCTGTCCATGAAGGTATATATATAACAAGCAAACAGTCCAGTATTTATAAATACCGTCAGCGAATGAATAAGTTATCATTTTTATAGTAAAACTGTGAGAGTTGTCTCTTTGGCATTAAGATCATTCAAGAATACATAAAGAAAATCGTTTGTTGCTAAGGAACATGTTGGTTTATAGTTTGAACATGCAGAGAATTTTAATGCGTAAGACACACGTACCTGTGATCAATAATTGTGTTCCTGCTAAATAACTGTGTGAAACTTTATTAGATTTAAGATTTATTCCATATTTATGTGTATTCCTAACTACTTGAATATATATGATGGTTTTCATTTTAGTATTTAATTGAGCTTAAATAATTATATTTAATAAATATTTGGAAAATGAAATGAAAATCAAAATGTGTAAATAAAGAAACAAATCCAAACTAATAAGAAAACCAAGAGCATGGATTGGCACCAAGTTTGTTATATACATGCATAATATCATGTTTAAAATACCATTCTACACTACTATAATATGGATTCAATAATATTTTTGCATTACAATGAAGAATGCAGCGTATGCTGTGAAATCTTTCGTTTCTTTAAAATAAATGTTATATTCTAAATATACATCTTGGAAACGTTGCTATGTTATATGTTTATCAAAAATTATCAACATTATCTTTTATGAATACCATTAAACGTTTGATTATTGGAAAATTGATAAACGTTTTATTTACACTTGCTCCTAAATAGCAAAAGGGTAGGAAAAATATTGTCTAAATAGCTTGTACATGTAAATTGTGTGTAAGTACAATTCAACGGCGTTAGTTAAGAAAAGAAAAACACACAAATAAATGTTGTCAGAACTGTTTTTGTCATTGTCAGTTTTATTTTATTTAGTTGATTTATGTCTTGTCCTTTTTGATTTTCAACTCAACTCAACTCAAATAATGTTTGGCATAAAAAAAGCCCAAAACGGCAAAATTGAAAATGTTGCAGGCTCGGTTTGATTGAGCCTGTTCATGGACGGTACTGAAGAGTGCAAGTTACCGTTCACGTCCCCTAGCACCGGCTTAAGCAAATTCAACATTTAAACATGAAATGGTAAAATTTTGAATTTAGAAACATCTGCAGATGTGTTCATACGGCAGTTATCATGGAACTTTCAATGTGACACTTCCGTGCCATTCCATGAAAAGCGGCGTATGGTCCCCAAGTAATAAAAAGCGTGTGCAAACAATGGGCGGAACTAAATAAAATGCAATTTTGAAAGGGGATCATAGGTTATGAAGCCTGCGTATCACAGATAAGACGTCAAAAGACAACGGCACAAATAACACGGATGTGATCATAAAATAGATAAATACAGAATCCGTAAAGAAAACCCAAACCGGTAAAATTGAAAATGATGCAGGCTCGTTTTGATTGAGCCTGTTTATGGACGGTACTGGAAAGTGCAAGTTCACGCCCCCTAGCACCGGCTTAAGCAGAATTTAACATTTAAACATGAAATGGTAAAAGTTTGAATTTAGAAACATCCGCATATGTGTTCATACGGCGGTTATCTTCCGTGCCATTCCATGAAAAGCGCCGTATGGTCCCCAAGTAATAAAAAGAGTGTGCCCCAAACGAGAAAACAATGGGTGGAACTAAATAAAATGGAATTTTGAAAGGGGATCAGAGGTTATGAAGCCTTGAAAATAACAACTTCAGTGATAAAGAAAAGTCATACATGCTTATATAATTTACATAAGACAAATATATAGTAATTTATATCCTAAACATTCTATGAAATAAGGTTTAATGTGATAACATAAACATTTACCATACTATAAGGCGACGCTGTTTGAAGTTTAAACAAAGATAACTATATTATACATCTAGTATAATGATGAATATTGATGTATATCTTTGTTTAATTAAATAAAAAGTACTCCATATAAATATAATTATTAGGAGACACGTAGCAAAGTGTTGCAAAGTATATAAATTTCGACACATTTATAATAATTGCATTTGATGTAGAAGACAAAAGATTTATTTGTGTGCATATGTAAATTGTTTATTAAAGTGACATATGTTATTTACAATATAATCATATACAAATATTTTAATAAAGATATTTAAAACACCCGGCCTCATGGGCCTATTAGTCACTGTTGACATTTGATACAGTATCTATGTATAGTTCTCAAATATTAAACATAATAGTACAAGTTCTATTTCAAATATATGGACGATGTACATAGAATAGTATATTTTCACTTTCATAATTATCAAGTCAATTAAGCAATTAGATATTTGAGTAATAGATGGAATTAAATATAAGTGATACACATATATATGTTGTGTGCAAATCGCTATGAGTATATAAGGCTTCGTCTAAACATAAAAGCTTTCACAATGTATTTTTCTGTTTTTCTAGCATTTTCATTTTTTATTTCTATTAATATAGGATGGACCTGACAATAAATCTTCGAACACTTGCTGTCTTATATTATCATATTTTGTGCATTCTACGAGAAAATGAGCTTCATTTTGTTCTTGGTCACAGAATGTACATATTCCCTGGTTTACATTTTCGCCAATAAAACCTCTTAAGGGTAAAATCCCACACCGCAACTGTGCTAACATCGAGCGTTCATTCTTCTTTAAATTTAATACTATGTATTGTTCGGTTTTAAAATTTGTTTTTAAATATTTTATATGTTCGTAGTTTTGGGCTATTTTGTACAGAGGTATACCATTGTTCGTTTAACAGACTTAATATTTTTTTCATTTGCTAGTTTTAAATCAACTGGTCTCTTTTCTGTAAAATAGATACTGAGACCCAACGATATCATTATTTGTTTAATATCGTGTGACCAATTATTTTGGCACATTATTATAGTCAGCAGTGAAAACAATTTAGGTAGTCTTTGGTCGTCCATGTTCATTAATTTATTCCAATAGCGTAGCATATTTATCCACCTTCTGAATTTGCTTGGTAACCATCCGATATCCCCTGTAATGGCCGCACCGGGTGCGAATCTGTGTAACCCTAAAAAGTATCTTAAAGCTCTATTTTGCACACTGTCTAATGTTTGATATTCTTTGTATCCCCATACACTTGAACAATAATCTAGCACTGGCACCACACAATTGTAGAACAATTTTTCGAATGGTTTAAAACCAAAACCTTTCGAATGTATTTTGTTAATAACTCCTCCTAAAGCCCTGCCTGCCGCCTTATTCAGTGTTTGACTGTGTGCGATATAGTGTGTATTTTCACTAAAGATTACACCTAGGTATTTAATTCACAGACAGTTTCCAAGGTGTTATTGCCTATATGGAAACTAAAATCTGACCTTGTACGTCTTACCTCTACGAAAATGAATACATTTAGATTTCGATGAGTGTGTAAACTATTCAACATAGTTTGCAAGTCGTCACCATTTTGTGCCGTAAAGACAATATCGTCAGCGTAAAGAAGCAATGAGATTTTTTGTTTTCCTATTGAAACACCAAGATGAAAAGAATTTATTTCTGCTTCTAAATCGTTTATGAAAACGGCAAAAAGTGTTGGCGACAGCGAATGTACCTGAAACACGCCTCTTTTACAGTCGAACCACTGAGTCATTATATTGTTGATACATACACATGAAACTGTTTGTTCGTACATTGATTTTATTGCAGTGTAAATTTTTCCGTCTAAGCCCGACCGCAGGAGTTTATACAGAAGCATGTCTCTATCTACAAAGTCAAAGGCCTTTTTTAGGTCAATGAATGCGGCATAAGTGTTTTCATTATTTTTAATAATAGTGTTCAGTGTATACACAGGATCTGCGCACGATCTGTTTTTACGAAATCCGTTCTGTTCTCCTGCTAGGTAGTCATTTTCTTCTAAATAAGAAAACACCCTCCGATTTAAAAAAGAGCTGTACAGTTTACTTATGCATGTTTGAAGACTAACGCCACGGTAGTTTAATGGAACGCTGCTATCAGAATTTGCGTCTTTAAGTATCGGGCAAATAACGGCCTTTCTCCATTCGCAAGGTATCAGACCACTATCGAATATTAGCTGAAACAGTTGGTGTAACACATTTATGACTTGTGGAAATTTCAGTACAGCGTACGGTATATTGTCTATGCCTGCGGCTGATTTAGATTTTGTAGCCATAACTACGGAAGAAATTTCTTCAATTGAGATATTGATTTAACTGGGAGTTGGATGTGTAGAGAGGATCGGCTATATCAAGTTCAATCAAATGTTTATGCATTTTAGTGCAATCATAATGACCTTGTTCAAATGCATCGCTATAACATCAATTATACAACCATTTTCCATCTTTCCAAAACACTTTTCTCATCACATATGATATTTCCATCCTGATCCCGTACTTGCATGGGTATCGTATTGTTTTTTCTAAGACCAAAACTGTTTATTTTGTTCCAAAATGTTTTCAATATCAGCAGCGAACGATTGTCTGTGTGCGCGTTCACACTGTCGTAATAATTTATCAAACTGATTACTAGCTGCGATATAATCTG